GCAGTGCCAACCTCTGTCCTGTTACAGAGGGGAAGGACGGCATCGGCTGCGACCTGCTGCTCAACCCTCCAGGGAGCTCAGACCAGGAGGAAGAGGAGCAAGAAGCAGATAACTTCATGTTTGAGTTCTCAGACAAGCCACTGCTTCCCAGCTACAACCTCCAAGTGTCCGTCTCCCGGGGGTGAGTGCCTTTCCCTGCAGCACAGAGCAGGACCAGGGCTGGCTGCAGCCCTGGCACTTTGGTTCTTCCAGGGCTTGAGAGCTGCTCGTGTATCTCAGGATCATCCCAGAATCCCAGAAGGGTTTGGGTTGGGAAGGGCCTTACAGCTCATCCCATTCCACCCCTCTGCTATGGGCAGGAACACCTCCCATTAGACCAGGGTGCTCCAAAGCTCATCCAAGCTGGCCTTGGACATTTCCAAGGATGGGGCAGCCACAGCTGCTCTGGGCAGTTGTGGCTGTGGCACTGGGGAAGTTGGGGAAGCAGTGCCTGGCTTGGCACAGCCTGGAATGTTCTCAGGGAGCAGGGAAGGCTCATCAGGACTCCCCCCAGCCTCCATGGCCAGGCACATCCTGCTGCCCTGAGTGTCCCTGTGCTGTGCCAGGAAGCACATCATCATCCCTTATGATCCTGCTTCTAGCCCCATGTCCCTTCAGCAGCAGCTCACACTGATGGCTCTGAGATGGTTTCCCTTCCACCATGGCCAAATCAGTCCCAGTACTGGAACAGCACTCCCATCTGCATTCCCCATGACACAGTGCCTGCTGCTGGGGCAAAGGGTGACTTGGAAGAGGCAGCAACCAAAGCACTGCTCTTCTGGGCAGCAAATTTCTGTGCCTGCCAGTGTTTGTCCATGCAGAGGGACGCGTGCAGCATGCCCTCCAGCAATAAACCACACCAGAAGCTCCATTTCCTGACCATGTGGCTTATTCCTGGCAGGGAAGCTGCCAGGACCTTGTTGAAGGCAGGACTTTCACACCAGTGTCCCTGCCTAGCTGTGAGCGTTTTAAAAAGCTGTGACCTGTGAGGCTGTGATCAAACCCCAGTCCGTGGGCTCCTGGAGGAAATCAGCACATGGAGAGCAGTGCCAGAGGGGAGGGACAGCGTGCCAGGAGGGCCTGCAGCCCCCTCCACCCCAGTAACCCACCGTGCTCTTGCCATCCTCGCAGGCCCTGCAACTGGTTCCTGTTCTCTGATGTGCTCAAGCGGCTGAAGCTGTCCTCCCGCATATTCCAGGCCCGCTTCCCGCACTTGGAGGTGGCCACGCTGCCCCGGGCAGAGTTCCAGCGCCAGGTGTCCCTGAGCCAGGTGCTGGCACAGGAGGAGGTGCCGGCAAGCCCCGAGCTGGCGCCGGGCACGGCAGAGACTGTGGAGCTGGTGCACTACGAGCCCGAGCTGCTGCAGCTGCTGGGCTCGGCGGTGGAGTACCAGGCCTGGAGCAGCTGACGGGGACAGGCCACTCCCGGCATCACGAGGCAATAATAAGGACCAAGGGGAAGCAGCTCTCTCAGCGCCAGCAGCAAGGACCCGAGTCTTTGAGCAGCCGCTCCTCCTCTCCTCAGGGTCTCCTCCAGCTGGGGAGGGAGGACCCTCGCCTCCAAGGACTTCCCGAGGTCCCCCGGCCACGAGCAGTGGCGGTCGCTGCCGCCTCATGCAGCTCCGGTGGGTGATGGAACCCCTGCTCAGAGGGGCTCAATGGGGCAGCGAGGGGTGGGAGCCGCCGCCCCTGCCCACCGGACCCTACGGAACTGCGCCTCTCCGTTCGCCCTCCCCCTCCCAATGTCTTCCATAGTATTTATTTAATTAGTATTTAATTTGTAATGTTTTCTTTGTTTTTGCTGAGTCTGTA